TTTTGTTTCATTTCTCGTTCAACCAGGTGTTGTGAATGAACACCTGAATACGATATTTATGTTTCTCAAGTTTTCGTAGTATAATATTTCGATAATTTTACTACAAAGTATTTTACTCGAGTTAGATTGTTCTTTATTTGCGGGTGTGAGAATAGTCAGGACACTTACATATATATATATATATATATATATATATATATATATATATATATATATATATATATATATATATGTGTGTGTGTGTATATATATATATATATATATATATATATGTGTGTGTGTGGGTGTGTATATATATATATATATATATATATAAGATTATATTAAAAACATTTTTAAATCACTGCGCAAAAGCTTTCATGTTTCAGTACTTTGATTTTATTCTTCATGCGATGGGAATTAAATTTTGGTTAAATGATTTTTAAGAAAATTTCAAAAAGAATTGTTACCATTTTTCCGAAAGTTAAAGGGTCGCGGTAACATATATTGCTCTACTTTGTATTGAGCACTTTTTTAAAAGTAAATGCTGCGAACTGTGGAGTTGAATCCATTTGGTCTTTCTCTTATATATATATATTAAATAAATGCTGTATATATTCTAGCCGAATTATCCGCTTCTTGTTACGCGTCACATATTTTGGGGAAGAAAATGATGTTCATTTTAAATCCTTGTTATGATTTATGGAAAAAAAATGATTTATTTCAATATTACTCAATGATCTTGCTGATGTGACCTCCATCTTCTGGCTTTCTCCTTCTATATTTTGGATAGGAGCCATTCCATTGTTTAAATTTTAGTTAAATCAACGGGGAAAAAATTTCAGTAGGGCTTTGTGCCCCGACCCCCGAAACCCTCACTTTCATCAAAATGGGCTTAACTTTGTGACTTTCATCTTCTGGCTTTCTCCTCTTATATTTTGGAGAGAGTCATTCCTTTGTTCAAATTTAATTTAAATCAAAGGGAAAAGAATTTTCAGTGTTGGAGGATTGTCCCCTCGTTGATAAAAATGAAATATACTTATCTATAGTACCCTGAGTAATGTAGATTCAGAATGTATATGGTTATAGGAATCTATCTCCAAAACGCCAGGAGGAGTTTAATAACAAACAAACAGAACAGACGGCTACAAATTTACACACACACACACACACACACACACACACACACACATATATATATATATATATATATATAAAATATAAAAATACTTTAAGGTATGCTATATTTCTAGGTAAAAGTGCTCAATACCAGAGCATATATAAATATAATTTTGGACATTAAGATCTGAACCAAGGGGCGACAATCTGGCATTTGTGAAATTAACAGATAATATAGAAATCTTTTAGGTTTACGTCCACGTCACGTTGAAACATTGGTTTACTCGTACAATCACCGAATTTAAGCAACGCCGATCCTGGCCAGCCCTTAGATGACTGACCACTTGTGCATACCCTGTTGTAAGCGAGGATGTGCGTGTGGTGTAGTGGATAATGGCTTGGAACTGTTAATCGGAGAGCTGAGTTCGAATTCCAGATGGCTTCATTGCATTCCCTTAGACGCCAATATACTTGAGGAAGGACTGATAACTTTCCCAAGGATATAAGTCCATATATGTCCACCTCTTCTTCCCTCAGCAATGGCGATTTTCTAATTGTAGCTTAAATGTGACACAAGGCTTAAATTATAGAGCACTTAGTGAGGATCTCAGACATTTTTTCAGTCGTAATTGATCTCGCCTGGTAAACTTGCTAACCATTAAACCACGTTGAATTTCCCCTTCCATCAGCTATGAGTCAATTATTAAGACTTGTATGACTAAACTATTATTATCTCAAAAAACATTCTTACATTATATAAATATTTTCTGATTTTAAATACTCTCCAAAGGGTTGATAAAACGTAGAAAACGAAATAATTGTTTAATCAATGAAAATCATTTAAAAATATTTCTTATGCCGTCAAACTGCAATTCTTACACTATATAAATATTTTCTGATATCTCATGCCGTCAAACTTTACAATGTTTGAATTTTCAAACGTCTTTATTTAATAAAAATAAATTTCTTTTGCCATCAGCAAACGGAAATATTTCAAAAATCGCACTGAAAAATTAAAACTATTTAAAAAAAAAAATATTGATTGTAGATTTTATTTCTTCTCTAATCTGAATGGAAATAACGTATTTTTATTTATGTAATCTCTAACTCACATCAAAAATTATTTTTTGTGTTTTATTCACATATTTTTAGTAAAAATTCAGGACAAATATTCATGATTTTCCGATTTCATATTGTAAAACCTTTTACTTCAGGGCTTTTTTTTCATCACTCTACCAATTTTAAAGTATTCTCGATGTGTGGATAATCGAACTGCCCAAAATAATACCGTTTTCTGATAAAATAACATATTCAGTATTCAATTAATTAATGAATAAGTGCGGAAAATAGAAATAGATATGTCTGCCTATCGTCCGGTTTATACTCCTTCCCCAGTTTTTGAACAGGAGTAAGAGTTTATCTGTTATTTTCTGTTTAGGATTAGATTTCCGGATCCTTCTAAAGTTTACTTCAAATCTCTATTTCTAACGTCTTCGCCTAAACTCTGAAATTTAATTTACTATTTAATTGCTGTCCTTGGTATGAATAGATAAGTAAGCTTATCGTCCGGCTCACCCTCCTCCCCATGCTTCTTAAGAGAAGTAGATGTTTATCCCTTGTCTGTGTTTAGGATTTCCTTTTCGGTTCCTTTTAAAGTCTTTTTTCATTCCCTTTCACCCCCCCCAGTAGCCCTTTACATTTTAGTGCAAGTATTGTATTTCATGGGTGAAATGGGTAAAAACAAATGTTAACCATGTTTGCCGTAGTCTTTGAATATAGAATCCAGTGAAGTCCGTAATGTGTTCAATATCAGAGGTTGGCAGTGAAGATTCGGAGAAAGTAGCAGCAGTTAAGTAATTCTTTAAGTCTTCGATATCAGAGGTTGGCAGTGAAGATATTTTGGGAGAAAAAACAAAATGGCTGCCTTTATACACGTCGGATTGAATATTTTGAGCTTTCTGATTGGTTAACCCTTCTATTTGTGAACTATAAAATAAGTCAGCTCATCTTGGTTGGCTCACTAGTACATACATATATCCAAAATACTGTAACAAAAAAACAAAAACCATTCACTGTTTTTTTTTTATTAGATATTTAAAAAAACAGGGTGTAACGTTATTTTGCTTTCATGTCGGAGAAAGCATCCATTTTGCTTGTTCTTGATATATATATATATATATATATATATATATATATATATATATATATATATATATATATTAAAATAATTGTCGGACTGTGTCCATTTCATAATGTGTGACGTCATTTGTTTACATTTGATACGCCATGAGAAGATATAAATGTACGTGAGAGATTCATGGAAGATTGAAGTTTAAACACAGTAAATTCGCCATTGCTAACCGAACGATCCTTCGTGGCCAAATCGGTAAATGCACGTCAAGTTAAATGACAGATCCGTATAGGATATAAGTTCGAATCATGTCGGAGGACGAATATTTTCTGTGAAAATTTCTCAGATATTCAGGCCGGTAAATGTTTAATACTGTTTATTATAAACAGAGCATTTATTTAAATATTTGTATCTATAAAAAGAATGTATAAACATAAAAATGTCTTAAAATAAGTGTCGGACTTTCATTATATATATATATATATATATATATATATATATATATATATATATATATATATCGTCTATAACATCAAAATTGTCCAAATCGTGTAACAGCAAAATTGTCCAATTGTTAGTTATGATTTGGACCGTTGTATCTTGGAAATGATTAAAGATATCTTACTGAAATTTTCCGAGGGCTTTATAACACTATTCTTTGTGCAATAAGAATGTATAATTACTCTCTAAGCTTAACAGAAGTATCGTTTGGAAATCGATCATAAACGGAAATGAAATGTTCATCATTAATTAACCATAGTCAAGGTTCGGATGTTCTTTATGAATTGAAATAAAGTTAATATATATATATATTTTTTTTCCACCTGTTCTTATTGTACATTTCTCTGTTTTAATTTTGAATCTCCCGTGGAAGCCTGAAGAGCGGGAGCGAAACCAGTTGCTTCCCCCCTTTGTTGTTGAGTTTTTTTATTATTATTTAATATTTTTTTTATTAGTAATATTTTTTATACTTTTCTATTTCCCCCCAAAAATATCTTTAAATATATTTATATTATATATATATATTTATATATATTCCAGGATTTTTCTAATTTATTCTATTTCTAGCTCTAATTTTTTGAAATGACGATCCTTTTCTTCCTGTTTGGACTTTCACACCTGACCTCCTGATTCAATTTTTTAGCTCTAATTTGTCTCTACTTCCTGTTTCCTCTTTTTTAAACTGATTCACCGTTTTCTTGATGGTTCTTGAATGGGCTTTAAAGCCAGAGTATGGATTTTGGTACCATTACTGAAAGCCAGAATGGTCTTTTTCCTCTCACCATTGCTCATTCTGGAAGGCAGTATGGCTGACACAAGACAATTTTAACCTGTTCTCTTTCTAGCTGATTAACTCAAAGGATTTTTCATTGATTCTTACGGCAAATGGTGTCAGAATGGCTAAACATCTTATCAGAAAACCTGGAAAAATGAAACTCAGTTCAATGGCATTTTAGATATACATGTTGTGGGATGGACAATTACAATGTTATATATATATATATATATATATATATATATATATATATATATATATATATATATATATATATATATAGGGGTTGTATGTATATATATGTGTGTGTGTCAGTGTTTGTATGCGCCCCGCATGCGAGTGTCTTTATGTTTGATATGTTTGTGTACATGATTTGGACCGCAGTCATAATGCTATATAATAAAATTTGATTTACAAAATCAAACGGGGGACCGATTCAGTTTAAAAGAAGACAAATAAATATATTTTGTTTAGAATTTTGTTTTATCAAAATTGTTATAATTGTGTGTGTGTGTGTGTGGCAGAGAGTGTAAGATAATGTGTATTTGAGAGACACACAGCGATAGATAGATAGATAGATAGATAGATAGATAGATAGATAGATAGATAGAGTAAGTGAGATTGAGTCTCTCTCTCTCTCTCTCTCACTCTCTGTGTTAAATATCTATCTTTCTAAATAAGGTAATAAGGCAAAAATGATTGTTGCATCAGTTTTGTTATCCGCCCTGCCAGCCAATCAAAATAAGCCACGATGTCCTGAAATTGTAACTCGCCAAAAACGACTGTGGTTTCTTCATTTTCTCATGTGCCCACTCCTTATTGCAAATATACTTGTTGCTGTTGTCATTGTTGATGCAGTAAAATTAGAAACCCAAAACTGTTAAGAATATATGTTTCGGAACACACAATCATGATAAAACTTCAGGCATATTATTATATAAGATTGCAAGTCATTTTAAAAATCCTTTCACCACAAGCAAGACAATAAAACCACTAAGAAACAAGGAGTTACTCAGAGTAAAAGAATATGTGCAAAAAAACATTATTAATGAGAGATAATAATAAACAAACATAAATTAATAAGACAGACGATAATGATTGATAATGCATTTAAATTTTTGAAGTTCAAAGTTGACTGGAATGTACGATGTCAGAAGGGAGTTGTACAAACAAGTAGTGCAATAGAAGAAACTGTTAGCATAGAACTTACGGTTACACGAGATCTTACCGTCAATCTAGTATTTCGCTTAAATTCATAAAGTTTAGGTACCAAAGAGGAAAGCTCATCAGAACAATTATGAAAGTATTTATAGAAAAGGTAACAGTTGCATTAATTCCTGTAGATAACAATACATCTCCTTTCGTATTTTCAAATATTTTAGGGTGAAAGCATTTAAAATTTATTTCAGAAGGGAAATAATTTTCAATGCGTTTTCATTCTACATATTTAAAACGCTATATTCCCTCTACAAAGCGGGTGCAAGTCAAGCTTGAACAACGTCGGAACGAGCATTCACTTTATACAAACTCGAGTACGCATGCTGTTTATTTCTTGGATGAGAAGTTATAGTTAGACATAGACTAATGCCCTCATCTTAGTCATCATCATGATAATGTTTTGACCGGGTAACATCCGGAATTCCTCGGGGATACTTCGATCCGGATAAACATCAGGGAATTTTGTGGCGTACTAATTGTGAATTGAATCCCTGGGCAGAGTAGTACAGTCTCTAGAGTCTGTGGAAACAGAAATAGCAATAACAACAAGGCTTGGTTATCAAAACGAGAACAGTTTCTAGTGTCAGCGGAAACAAAAATAGCAATATCAACGAGACATGGTTAACAAAACGAGAACAGCCAGAGAATCATTGGAAACAAAAATAGCAATAACAACGAGACATGATTATCAAAACGAGAACAGTCTCTAGTGTCAGTGGAAACAAAAATAACAAAAACAACAAGGCACGATTATCAAAACGAGAACAGGCTCTCGTGTCAGTGGAAACAGAAATAGCAATAACAACGAGGCACATTTATCAAAACGAGAACAACCAGAGAATCAGTGGAGACAAAAATAGCAATAACAGCGAGGCACGGTTATCAAAACGAGAACAGTCTCTAGTGTCAGTGGAAACAGAAATAGCAATAACAACGAGGCACGGTTATCAAAACGAAAATAGTCACAGAATCAGTGGAAACAGAAACAGCAATAACAACTAGATATGGTTATCAAATCGTCAACAATCTTCATCGTTTATTAAATAAAAATTAAATTCAGTTTGAAATTCTCTTAATGTTATCCTGATCTACAGACACCTGAATATGGCCGGTTGACACAACACCCGAAACAGCAAAGATGAGGACATTAATCCGACTATCAACTATTTAAATGAGAAGAATTCACACCTGCCGATTGAATAAAGTAACTAAATGTTGCAAAGTATAGCAAATAAGATGAGCCAGTTGGTGTAGACAAAAGATTTTAGATCTGTTCGTCGTTGGGCATTTACTATAACTTTCATGTAAGCACCTGAATGCAGTTAGAGAATACACGAGTGAAATGTGGTATCGATACAACAAAGCAACAGAAACAGTGATGATTTTGTATAATCCGTGGAAGAATCATAGGGTTGCGATGGAATAATTTTCTTTCTTCGAAAGGAGAGTCCATTATCGGAGCCGTCGTTGAAAATGACGCCATTAATATTCATCGCATCGTCGTTAACGGCCGGCCAAACGTGTCACGTGACATATGGTCTCGCTTAATGACGAGTGCCCTTCCTCTTCTCCAACGGCCACCCTAAACGAATGCGCATACACAACCTCACGAATCCTACCGCTAAGATATTCCCTCTGTGCTTTGTCTTCTACATTGACGATTGTATCATCTGTCTGTCAGTCAATTTAGCAAATAACCGAAACATTTTTTTCCGTTTCACGCCTCATGCGACCATACTCACTTCACTGTCTTGTTCGCTTGGCTATTCTAAATGTCTATTTGTCTATTCTCTCTAACTGTATTCGATTTTTTTTTTCTTTTTTTTTTTTGGCGCATGCGCGTTTCTTTGCTAAGATCGGTTTCACTGTAAGGATGTGTCATGGTATGTCAGTATGCATTGGTGACCATCGTTTGTCCGCTTGTACATCAGCAATTCGGGATTCAATTCACCGGCATTTCGATAGTTCTATATCTTTTCCGTGTGTCGTGTCATTTCAGGATGTGGGTAATCATGGCTCTCGGCGACTTCCTAACCCTTCTATCTTTTTGTTTTTGTTTGTTATCCCTCCTAAATTCCGTCTCTTGAAAAAGGGGATAGAAACGTCGGTTTTACGTAGTGACGTGTGAAGAAAGCGAGGGCGTTGAATTGAACCAGCGATATTGTGATTTGTACAAGTGATATTGCAGTAATAAACTACAGTATGTTATGTTCTTAAGACTACGGACTCTTATTTTCTTTCTGTCATATTACTCTATCTTAAACTTTTCAAAATAAATTGCACATATCATAAATTGGTATATCCTAAATTTGGTAAGAGCCTCTCAGCGTCGGGTAATGGTTAGCCTAATTGTTCATTACTAGTGTGTGAGTTTAATCCTGACTAGATGTCTCATACAAAATTCAACATTATTTTCTTCTCTAAACTTTGTCTCTTCACGACCTGAACAATCACGGTTCTCCACAATTTTCTATAATTGGTAGCTCTTTAGCAAGCTTTGCAACAGAAATAGTAATGGTAATATTAGCCGTTGCCTTACAAGGAAACAGTTGGAATTCACTGAACGACCAGCCAATACTGTTTCCGGTTGAAATTTATAAAATCTTTCTCTTAAAATATTTTTAGGGTAACAGGTACACACACACACACACACTCTCTCTCTCTCTCTCTCTCTCTCACACACACACACACAAACTTGTATATATACCGGCTGTAACAGCAAAATTGTCCAAATCGTGTAACAGCAAAATTGTCCAATTGTTAGATTAAGTTTTGAACCGTTGTATCTTAGAAATGATTAAAGATATCTTACTGGAATTCTCCGAGGTTTTTATAACACTACTGGACTCTACTTTAAACAACAAAAATGTATTTAGCTCTAAGCTGAAATGATGATCCCTGTTGCTGTTGTGACCTCCTGATCCAGTTTTCCTCTCTACTGTTCCCCCTTTTTTAAACTTATTCATCATTCTCTTCATGGTTTTATTGCTCTCTCCATTACTGTTTGGGGTTTCCTTCCAAAGCTTATATTTGAAGGTGAATGACTCTTTGAGTTACATGTGATATCCATTTTAGTTGTTTCTGCTACTGGTAGTCTTCAAGTAATGTGAGTTCTGTTATTTGGTACAGTACTTTGTGATTCTGCAGCACCAGTTCATATTGTTCAAAGAGGGATTATCTTTGCCAAGACCTCAGGCTTTACCAGCTCAAAGCCTTTTATTCTCCATTGTTCTTAGGAAGGACTAGGATTTCATAACAGTTCCTAATTCTTTTCTTACTAAGGAAACTTTCCTCTTTCTTAATACTTTGCTTAGCTTTTGCATGACATGTTTCGCTATTGTAATATGCGTTCGGATTACAATGTCACATTTTCCGTCTTCTGTTAAAATACTTCCCAGATATTTTCGTATTTGCTTGATTTTGGCATCTCCAGTTCGTGGTTCGTATCTTTAGATCTTCCTCTTGCTGACAGCTATATATTCTCAATGACTTTTGTCATTAAAAGTAAACCGACAGTGTTTAACCCCCAATGAGGCTTCTTGCTTTGGGCGACTTTTGGAACTCACACATTTCAGAAAAGGTAGACTGGTCGGTTTCTTGTACCTCTCCAAAATGTATTTGCTCCAAGAGATTTCAGAATTGTTTACGCGGCCTTGAGGGTGATGGATTAATTTTCAGCCTACAAGCAACATTTCCTAATTTTACCAGTTAAAGTATTTATTGTCAAGATGCGCCATGCCATAGACGCACGGGTATACCATTCTTATTTAATTTGCATTTCACTGATAAAAAGGAAGTTCCGCAGGTCCTTCCCAAGAGCCGCCCATCCCCTTCTAAGTCTATAAAACTCATTTAGTAAATTCCTACCTTGGGTGGCGCTTAAGGCTTGTATTTTATGAACAAATAGTAAAAAACAATGATAAATTTTATTACATAAATTTTATTAGATAAATAAATTTTATTACATTATATTAAATTAAATTTTGCATTAAAATACATTTAAAATAAATTTATATTAAATACATTTTTATATTTAATTACATTTTTATTTTTAATTACATTTTTATTTTTAATTAGATTTAATTATATTTAAATTACATTTAATTATATTTAAATATCATATATTTCATTATATTTAAATTATAGATTTGATTATATTTAAGTCTAAATTACATTTAATTATATTTAAATACATTTTATTTTTTTGAAATAGTTTTTTTTTTTTTAATTTACATTAAAATACATTCAAATTACATCTACATTAAAATACATTAAATTTTATTACATAAATTTCATGATTCCCCTCTCAGGTCTATACAACAATTCATTTAGTAAATTTCTAACTTGGGTGGCCCTTAAGCCTTGTATTTTATTAACATTTAGTAAAAAGCAATGATAAATTGTGTTATATAAATTACTGTTTAGAATCTTTAAGGAATTGTGTCTTGGTAATT